TCCAGAGAGCTAGGTCTTCACATAATGTGTCTGAAGTAGGATAATTTGAGCCTGGTTATTTGTGCCTCAAATGAGAACCCTGGGTTGATTTGTTTGATGATCCGTTGGTTTGGTTTTTTGGCTGTCCACAGTATTCTCAGAAAACTTTTCCAGCACCAGTGTTCAAAAGCATCAATACTCTTCCTATCCTGCTTCTTCAAAGTCCAAAGTGATGATCTATTTGGCCCAAAACTTGTCTGTCTTCAGGCACGCATATGATTATCCTGATTATCCAGCACTATCGTAGTCTCTTATATTTTAACATGTTTGGTTAATTACATTTTCTGTCTTTTAGGAATGTGAAGGAACTATGGGAGAACCATGACAAATTGATGGTAAAAGCATTTGTCTATGAAAATAAAATTTAAAAAATCAAATCTTATTCTGTCCTTGCAGTAAGATAGATCATGTGGATTTTATTGTTCATATCAAGCAACAACCTTTGCTAGCTTTCAACATCTTTCTAGCTACCCAGACTTTATTAGGTCGAGATTTTTCAGGATTTTAACTACTATTGTTCTTTGTGCACAGGTCTATCGTAAAAAGTTTATTGAGCATTGGAGGAAAAACAAGCTTGATGTTGTCCTGTGCCCAGTTCTGGGTCCTGCCTTCATTCTTGGATATCCTTCAAAAATACTTGGTAAGCCTCACTGTGGCAGACTACAGACCTTTTCATCCCATGAAATAAAAATATTATCAAGTTTCAGGAGCACCCATGAAAGAACTAATCTTGCACAAGTAGATGAACTAGGTTTACTTCCAGAGGGGAAATGGTTTTGCCATTCTCTTAGCAGAGTAATAACAATGATCAGAATGATCTAGAAATTTTCACAATTCCTGTATGGGCATATAACTTACATGTAGTTCTCACTGTGAGATTAACATCTGGTTTCAGGCTAACCGTTCTGTCCATAGGATGAGCGCTATAGCTCACCATAGCATCATCGCCCACTGTATTCCTTCAAAACCAAGAAAAAATGAGAGAGTCCAATTTTAGAAAGTTGGTCAACATTACCTTACCATAACTGAATTATGCCAGTAGAGGGGTTTGGGGGTGGGGGACAAGGGGAGAAGTATACAATTCCACCTAACTGCTTATTTTGTGGTGTTCACCTTCCTAGCTGCTATCTCTTATACTATGCTATACAATACCTTGGATTTCCCTGCTGGCGTTGTACCAGTCGCCACAGTTACAGAAGTGGATGAAGAAGAGATGGAGCAATACGGAAAACGGTATAACATCTGGGATCAGATCCTGAAAAAGGTTTGTATGAACTCTGGAGGTACTAGAGCAGAAGTGTTTGTGTATCAATGATGTTTGAAGTTGTGAAGACATTTGATTTCACAATCAAAATTTAACATCAGCTTTTGAAAATTACCTGCTATCATTGGATAAATGAGTAAGGTTAACTAAATTTTCCTAAATTCTAATGAACCCAAAATTGCTAACAATAATGTTTAATTTAAAGACATGAATGACCCAATATCACCCTACTCAGCATTTTCCTATCTTTTTATAAGTAGCCTTCACTAAAATGGATGAGTATGGATGAAGAATGTGCATGATGACATTATGGCATTATAGGATATAATACAACTAAATATTCATGATTGTGGAATTTTTCTTGCACAAGTAGATGAACTAGAGTTGCTTCCAAAGTGGAAATGGTTTTGTCATTCTCTTACTAGAGTTTGGCAAGAGCAATAATTTGGGTGTCATTTGTCAAATATTGCCAGACATTGACTGCTGAATATTGATGCAAAATACTTTAGCATAAAATATTGATCCTGAATAGCAAAATGTCATCAATCTAGATGATATATAAAGAATAAACACCCTGAAAAATTTCAGAGGAAAGTTTTGTAGAGAACTTTTTGGAGCAAATCTATTTTCAGCTGTAGATAGAATATTGTGGATTGAAAATACTTTTCCTGTTTTTAAAAGGGGGAAAATTCAAGCAAGTTGAGAATTTAAAGGGAAGAAATGTTAATTGAAGAGCAGAATTCAGGATTATAACCATTATGTTTTAGGAAACGATATTTTTCTATATTTTCCCCCAAGGCCAGGATTAAATCTACACGAACAATCTTGGCAAAAAGTGATCTAAATCCATTTTTAAATAAAACTGGGGGAGGGACAGGGACACACAAATATTTGGCTAACAGCTTACTTACCCTGGTCATCAACTAGTGATGTGTACTGAAGAGTAGCCTCAATGTCAACTTTCTATGCAGGCACTTATGTCTTTTATTATTTCTCATATTTTATACCTTTGGGATGATTGGCTTCCAAGGCAGCAGTTATATGAAATACCAGAGAAAGAACCCAATCTTCAGTCAGTGTTAACAACTTTGTTAACCGTCTCAGTTAGGAGTCTGAGACGCTAAGGTTGCAGTCCTATGAAAACTTACCTGAGAGCAATTGCCAATGGAAAAGGGAGACTTATTTCAAGGATACCTGCCCAGGACCACGTTGCAGCATTCAAAAAGGCTTGGACCTTGGACCTGAGCTATCTGAATGATTGTGCTCTTTTGCCATCTTTTTCAGGCAGTAAAAGGTGCTGTTGGGCTTCCTGTAGCAGTTCAGTGTGTAGCTTTACCATGGCAGGAGGAATTATGCCTTCGGCTCATGAAAGAAGTAGAGATGCTGTCCAACAAAGAGCAACAGAAGAAAGTAATCTGAACTTGATAAATAAGCCATTTGCAGATCAAGGATGCAACTGGACTTAGAAAAATAAATATCAAGGATATCCTTGAATATCAAGGAATCTCTGCTATATATAACATGACACATGTTTGAACCCAGAATATTCATATTCAAAAGGAAAGGATTGTCTTTTGTCTGAGTTTTCCACTTCTGCAAATCACTATGAAGGGCTGGTCCTGCTTCTTCTGAATTCTTGTATTTTATAAGCCCTATTGAGGCATTTCTCTTTCTACTCATTTACAATTATAGGAGATGGCTGGTGGGAGGTTCACGCTTTCTGTTTTCTGCCATATTCCCATCCTTCATCTCCATTGGACAGAAAATCAGTATTTCATAATGGGGTAAACCTAAATGATCATACAATGTTGAACCACTTAGCAAAGCCCATTATCCGTGAATCAGAATGGGGACTTGTACTTGGTCAGGTGGAAGAGGCATAATATTGGCACATTGATCTAAACTGAAATGGGTGAAAAGCTTTGATAGCAATGCTGACTTGCCTTTTGCCCTTTTTTGAGATTAGTACTGGGTACATGTTCATCTACCATATAGAATTCAGTGAAGGTGATATTTGTTGCTCATATTGATTATGAGTTAATCAATGGGAGTTAAAATCCACCACATTTAGATGGCACCAGATTAGAGAAAACTGTGCTGTATTGTTTGTCATTCTCAAATAATTCCCTTTTGGTGGAAAACAAGGGGCAGTAAGTCAAAAATATACAAGCTCTGGGGTTTGCTGCTGTTTTGCACCAAACTGGTTTGCTATGCTATCCAATGTTTGAAGTTCAGATGATAACAGTTGGATTAGACTTTGGTGCAGCTTTGTATTTAATGTGAATGTAAAAGAATAGGGGAGAATTATTTCATTCCTTTTGCTCCCTTTTTAAGAGGCTAAAAACTCATGTTCTAGTTGTTTTCCACAGCTGAATGCTGATAATTCTATTGGCAATTGTGAGTGATTACTACATTATCTGCACTCAGAAAAAGTTATTGTTTTGAATGCTAAAAGAATTAATGATACATAAAACTATGTTATTATTGGCTGCATTCATCAGCAGAAATGTGTTGCGCAGCATCACTGCACTGTGTTTACCCCAGTCTCTTCCCTCCAAAGAATACAAGAGATGGGTAGAGACAGTTTATTGTAGAAGATTTACATACATGTCATTTACCTTTGGAAAAGCTTATTGGTGCTGAAGCTGATTATCCCACAAGTCCAAGGGAGGCTTGTTCATCCCTTTCCTTAAAACCAAAGGCAAATAGATTGATTGGGGGGGGGGTCTGAGCAAAGTATATTTTTATATACTAATAAAGCACAAAAGGAGAATCTAATTTAAAATGGAAGGCTGACTGAGATGCAAAAATAGTCTTTTTCAAGGGAGATGATGATGATGATGATGATGATGGACTCCCCACAGTAAAGGTCTGGATGAAGATTGGCTTTCAAATACTTTTCATACATACTCCAGCAATACAAAGTTTCTTGATAGCTTACCCTGTCTATATCTCCTTGGACTTACAGCATGCTGGAATGGCTTATACATTATAGCTGAACACTGCAGATGTTTATTCCGTCACATTTTCCAGAGGGGGTTGGGCAGGCTGATTTCTACTAAGCCACACTGGTACGTGGCATCATTATTAGTGATCTTGGCACCAACACAGAGTTAAGCAGAGACTTCTAGTACAAGAGAATGTACTTGGCACAATGGAATCTTTGATGCAAATAGCATTTTGTCACGCATTTTGACCTTGTTACCCTGTTGGGATCTCTGAGAAGCAGAGGAGCTGACATTTGGCCCAAAGTAAATGTGTTACAAGAGGCCTTAGTTTAAGGCTTCTCCTACCCTATCTTCTGCCTAATCAGAAACACAAATTGTTTTGGAGGCAGAACATTATACAAATAATATAATTTTTAAATGGTTTCTAGATTTGGGAATGGTGCTCTCTGATAGGGAGTATAACCTTTTCATCCTGCCTTTTTGCCCTACTCTACTTTCTGTTTCAAGGAATTAGAGAATATGGCTTACTAATTAATAAAACTGAAGAACTAGGAGATCCCCAAATTTCCCTAAGAGACACACAAAGTTTAACCATTTCTCATGGCCCTCAAGGGGATGAGGACCTGTGGCTCTGCAAGATGTGACTCAACTACATCCCTCAGCACAGGGCATTCTAGGCCAACAGCATTTCCCTTTCCTGTGTTAAATGATTTAAATAACCATAGGTAGTTAATAATTGGGAGGCAAGTCAGTGAACTGTGATCCCTCTTCCTCTCCCTCTCCGCCTTCAAGTCAGCATTGACTCCTGGTGACTGCCGGGACAAATCCCTGCAGTTTTCTTGACAATGTTTTCAGAAGTGGTTCACCATTTCCTCCTCCTCAGGGCTGAGAGAGAGTGACCGGCCCAAGGTTACCCAGCTGGCTTTGCGCCTAAGGCCGAACTAGAACTCACGGTCTCCTGGTTTCTAGCCTGATGCCTTAACCCCTACAACAAATTGGCTCTCTCATTGATTGCTTTCCCCATGTCACACATAACAGACTTTTCATATGTTCCAGTTAGTGTGATGCAATAACAGCATTATCAAATAACTATCAAATGACTACAGGTGGCTTTAAACTGTTCCAAATGTTTAATGAGATATAACCGCCTTTTGCTCCATTTACCACATGCACATACATACATACCATATGTAGGTATAATTTTCACAGAGGATCACACATCTTTTCTATAAAGTAATGTAAAATGATTATAATGCAGAGTAGGAATATACCCAAATTTATTACAGGTTAGAAAATGATTTATATTTACACATGGATTAAAAAGGTGAAGAAAATTCAAGGATTCAGATCCCTTTTTGGTTCTAAAAAACTCTCAGCTCCCTCAGCTTACCAGTGAAGCCAGATCATGCACTACAGCCTGCTGCTGAGTCTTCTCCAGATCTCTCCCATGGCATTATTTGGATACTTTTCCCATTATGCAAATGTCTAAGTGATGCGGGATGAGCCACAGTCCAAAAAATGGATGAGATCAAGACAAAGAAGTTGATAGGGCTGTGATTCCCCCCTCCCCCCAAGCTTAAAATCAAACTAGGTAACAGCTCAAGCTCCTCTGAAGCAAGCTTGATTCCTGGTGATTATATAGAAAAGTCCAAGTGATCATTTAGCAACAATATGGAATTTGTTTGGTATTGTCTTTCAGATTTTTATTTTTTTTGGCTTCTCAGTCTAGCCTATAGGACTTGGATTTTCTGACTTCCCATCTTGATACTATCCATATGCACTTGCAGCTAGGTATGAAGATGCTCAAATGAAAAAAAAAATGGTTTGGGATGTCATGATGCAAGCTCTGTCCTTTTGTACTTGCACTGGGGTCTCATAACTATTAAAGGGGCAGAATTTCATTATGATATAACACATGTTTTATCACCAGCCCCTCACTGCCTGCTCCCATGGAAACATGATACTATCCATTTCTTATCCTGCTTAGCTTTTTCAAGATCAGTGAAGGTCAGCAGCCCACGTACAATCAATATATCTGCATCCCACCTATTTAATCTTTCCCCCTTTCTGACACATTACAAATAATTCAGTGACAACTTGTGAAAGAGCTCTGAGGACAGAACTTGTAGGCTCAAGAAGCAATTTAGGGACAGGAAAAAAAAAAAAAAAATTACCGAGTTCCAGTAAGACTTTTACTGAGGTATTTGTACAACTTCTGTACAAGGTGTTCTGTACTGCAGCAAAGATGATGAATGCATTGCAGGCCATAGGTTATGACTGCCGTGTTTTTGCATGTTTATCCCATTCTCACAGTGGCTACCTCAGTGTTTCTCAGCTTTGGCGAGTTTAAGATGGGTGGACTTCAACTCCCAGAATTCTCCAGCCAGCCCATGCTGGCTGGGGAATTCTGGGAGTTAAAGTCCACACATCTTAAAGTTGCCAAGGCTGAGAAACACTACTCTACAGGCATGCAACGAAAGGTTATACCAGTGAACATCTCGGGGAGGAACAAGACCTGTTCCATTTCCTTCTCATTCATACGCAGAAAGCGCAGCTAGATGGCAGCACCGAGCAGGAGTTGATTGACTGCGTTGGAAATCTGATTTCGCAGACCCAGAAAAGAGAGTTTGGATTTTTTTTTTTAATCACTAGGGGGCAAACTTGAGTTTCTGATAAATGCAAATCATACTGTTAATGTTCTAAATATTGCTGCCAAGCTTTAAATGAACTGTAAATAAAAGAGACTGTCCAAGACTATGGATTTGATTTTTTGGAGGGGAGATAAGTCTTCCTAAATAAGTCTGTTGCATATGGGGAAAAATAGATAGCAATGCAATTACATTATTTTCTTTTATAGACACTGCTTACAGTCTAAATATTCCCTCTTTAAATAAAATAGGAATAGTACGCAAGAGTGATCAGAATTTAGAAAAAAAATCTCATACTTGCTATTACTCAGAGTTGGATGCAAATAAGCCATTTGAAATTCTCCATCAAAGGAGTGGGTGAGTTCCTCTAAGAAAAGAAGAAAATTAACAATTTCTCCTATGCAGGACTCTCCCTGCATTGTAGCTGTAGCGTCATTACTAAAAAAAACTCAGTGGCAGGAGTTCCTTTGTGATATTTTTCCCTTGGGATTTAGTGAAATTGTGGGAAACCAAGTGGAGTGAGAGACACAATATTGGCACGTATGCCTGGGTTTATATCTAAATAAATAGATGAACATCATACCCCCCACCATAGCACTTTCTCCAAAATCCTCTTCTCCTTTGAAAAAAAATTCAAAAGCTACAATTTCTTTCAGCAAGTTGAATAAGAACTGGTAAAAAGAGAAAATCCAGTTTTTCTGCCTGACACTAGAATAAATATTCCCTAGATAGGTGTTTGATTCCTATATCCATCCTGGGGATGAAACTATATCTTTCATTGCCCTGGAGTGAAGCCCTAGTCTTTCCAACCGTTCTGAAGAGGGATGCCATCTACTTCCTTAGAGCGAATCGGTGAGCCCAGATGGTGGAGGGGGTCCTTTGAAGTCAGTACATAGTAATAGCCAACACTAGCTTAAAAAATAATGAAAGCTGTCCTCCTCGTAGCTGATGAGGATGAAGACCTGATACGCCGTCTGAGAAGATCCCTTCCTCCTTTATCTTTATTTGAATCTGTTGGAAGAGGTGCAGAGGGATCTACTTTATACTTTCCACATTTCACAGATGGAGAAAGGGGATATCCCAGTATATGGCTCAGGTAAGATGACCAGTTAGGCATTACTAGAAAGGAAGACATCACCAAAAGAAGAGAGTACCTTCACAAACTTACATAAAATGTTTATATGCTAATGTATACATAGAGAAAAAGTAGAAGTTGGAAAACAATCTACTTTTTCTCTATTTATAGATTAGCATATATGAAAACAGTTGCTGTATTTGGACAGAAATACCATACTGTTAATTACAGAAGGGTAGGTGGGTTGGAATAAAGGACTATTCTCTCTGATTTGCCTATTCTAGGCCATGAACTGAGTTTCGCAGCCCAGAGGTGTGGTCTATTAAACAAAGTATGGCAATACTAAGAATGTGTGTTTGTGTGTGGGGTTGTTTCAAATTCACCTTCTGAGTTGTTGAAAGCCCAACTTCAGAAAACATTCTGATTTTTTAAAAAAGTCAACTGTTGTGTTCCAAATGAAAATGGACAAACCCCAGGAGCTTCCTCAGCACAGAAAATAAACACTCCTTTCTGCAGCCAAATGGTGTGATTAGTCTGGGAATTGTCAATATCCGGGTGTAAAAATGCTGATGTGTCGGAGACAATCAGCTTTGCGCGACCTTGTAATATCTCATTTTATCCATGCCACGCTTTATTAAATTCTCATAAACCTGTCAATGGGGACAGACATCATTTCACTTTACCCCATTAGTTCAACGCAGCAGCAACGGAGAGAAAAAACAGGAGAACGAGCTGCATGGGGGGGGGAGGGGGGAATGAGCAAGTGAGAGGAAGAGAAACCCACCCGCCCGCTTGCATCCCCCCACCCACACTATA